CCCGCATCTAGTAGCTCCTTGAGTTGCTTCCAGAGTTCCTCCAAGTCAGGTGGAGCCATGCGGTATGGACCCATTGCTGGTGGTTTCGACCCAGGCTCCAGCTCAATGGCATGGTCGACCTCCCTTCGTTGTGGAAGTTTCTTTGGCAGCTCTGGGGGCATCACATCTTCGAACTCGTGGAGAATGCCTTGAACTTCCTGTGGGACATCAAGAGATGAGGTATTATATTCCTTTAAAGCAGCTAAATAAGTATCCTCACCTCGTTTGATGCCTTTGGATACTTGTATAGCAAGGAGGACGCGGTCTCCAGTGGGTAACCGCTCCAGGGGCACCTTGTGACTCTCGTTCCCGTCCTCAAAGCGTATGCAGCCATCTTTCGTGAAGGTGAAAGGCAATAGCTGGTCGATAAACTCCCCACCCAACACCAGCTTGAAGTCGCTCATGGTTATGACGTTCAAGTCAACCTTCCCCGACCATGAGCCTATCTGCATGGGCTCTCCGCGTGCAACACCACAGATGGGCTGAGAAGGATTGTCGACCACTTTCACCCATCCTGGTTCCTTGGTGTATGGCAGACCCAGCTTCTCCGCAAGACTCACTGCAATCAAATTTTGGTTAGCGCCACTATCCAACAGAGCACGGACGCTTACCCCTTTGATCTTGACAGTGACATATTTGAGGGTCTTGCCGCCACCCTTCTGTTCAGCCATGGCACGGACCTTGGCGTCACCCCCACTCTACACCTTAGCCCGTATGGCGTTGAGAACTTGCATTGCTCCCAACTGCGTCTCCCCCACTTGGGATGGCTCCTCAATCGCTGAGATGATGGCGTTGAGCTTGTTCCGCTGCGGGCACTCCCTTGCCCAGTGCAGACCGCCACACAGGTAGCAATCCCGCCTCACCTTGGGTTGCATCTTGCTGCCATCACCTGCCTTTTCTGGGCCCTTGAAAGGCTTGAAGGCCTTGTGCAGTTTGTCTCCACCACCTTTGCTCGAGCTGCCCTTCTTGTCCTTGCCTCTCTTATGAGGTTCCTTGCTGAACTCGATAAGTGATTCGGCAACCACTATGGCTGACGCAAGGTCCTGAACGCCACGGCGCTTCAGCTCTTACTCGGCCCATCGCTGTAGTCCATCCATGAAGTAGAGGAGTCGATTCTTCTCAGTCATATCGGGGATCTCAAGCATTAAGGAGTTGTACTCCCTGATGTAGTCCTTGATCAACCCCGTATGTTTGAGCACACGAAGCTTCTTCATCGCCGCCTTTTCAGCATTCTCGGGGTAGAATTGCTTACGGAACTCCCCTTTGAACACCTCCCAAGTGTTGATGTTGCACAAGCCTCGTTGCATCTCAGCATGTCGGCGTCTCCACCACAGGGTGGCATCATGCTCAAAGTACATGGTTGCCATACGAATTTTTGCAGATTCATCGGAAATATTCATAGCATCTAAATAGCTTTCAACCATCCATAAGAAATTATCGAGTTCTTTAGAGCCGCGCTTACCTCAATATCTGGGCAGCTCAGGCACCTTCAGCTTGGGTGCCACGCTGGACGCACCGCCAGCTGCAACGCCAACTGCCATGGCGGCCTTGCACAAGGCTAGGTCCCCCTTGACCTCGCTGAGCTCCGCCTTCATTGCACTCACCTCTGCTGCAATGGACCCGCGAAACTCCTCCATGGCCTTATGCATGTCAGGGACAACCGAATTAAGGGCACCTTGGAGCTTGCCTTCAAGCTCTCGACACTGTCGCCCCTATCCTCTTGCTCCTCCATGCGAGAATCAAGAGTGTTTAGCTGCTCATGGACATCACCCATGGCTAGCTCGAGCTTGACCAGCCTCCCCTCAAAAGCTGTGAATGCATCCCGCGATGCTGGCGACAATGCCTTGGACCTTCCCTTCTTCCGAGTGCCCCCACGGGTCTCCCGACGACCCCTCTCCTCTGGAACCTCTGCAGCTTTGCTAGCCTCAACCCCCTAGCTTGCCATCGTCACGATCCTCCTTCACGTAACTAGGCTGTCAAACCACGCTCTGATACCACTTGTCACGGGACGAGACTCTAGCTAGTCACCGTGCGGCACTTAGCTTGGATTTCACCCCTTAACCAAACCAAATCAGCCTTCCCTTGGTGCTGGGCGCAGTCCACCTATGGGACAAAGAGGCTTGTGAAGCTTAAAATGCAAAGGTTGGAAGTTGGGAGAAAATGAGAGTTTATTAGACGCAAGGAAAATTTACAAGAGCTTGGGTATATGCTTGGCTGAGTGTCTCTGCCTTCTAAGGCTCCTCCTATTTATAGAGGAGGCCAGCCACCCCAGACAAAGGTTCTAGAGCATTCCCAAAGAGTCCTCATATTGTACACTTCCTGGAACCTCCCAAATCCTCCCACATGTCCTAATTCTAGAATTCTCCTTACTCTAGAATTATATACAAGTCTCTAGAATTATCTACATGCAGCCCAGGTCAAGAAAGCCAAGTTCGGACCACTGTTCACGTCCTTATCTGGACCACTGTTCACGTCCTTATCTGGACCACTGTTCACGTCCTTATCTGGACCACTGTTCACGTCATTATCTAGACTACTGTTCTGGTCCTTATCCCTTCTCACAGGCTGCTTCTGGAGACTTCCCCGCGATTCTAGTTCGCGTCTGGGCGTCGATACCGTTTCCGATTGCGG